TTTTTTTTTTTAGCTTAATACCCGGTGACAAGGCAGTGCTGTTTCTTTTTTAACTTGAAAAAGATGTCTCTCATCACATGCATAAATAATTCAATCCCTTGTACCAGTGTGTGGAGGTGCGGTGGCCTCATGGTTAGCACACTCGTCCCTGGATTGAGCGGTTCGGGTTCAAGCCCTGGCTGGGGACACTGTTGTGTTCTTGGGTAAGACACTTAACTCTTACCGTGCCTCTCTCCACCCAGGAGTATAAATGGGTACCGGCTGACTGTTGGAGAAACCTAACAAATTGTGGGGGAGTGACCTGTGATGGACTAGCATCCCAACCCTGGGGAGTAAAAATACTCCTAGCTGCTTCATGCTACAGAAACCAGGATAAGCTCTAGCAGCTATGAGCCAGTTGGCTCCAAGGCTTCACTTTTGTAACACAGTATTATCTTCAATTTGAAGAAGATTTGAAGACAATAATTTTCACAAAACACAAAATTGAGGCAAAAAGCCAAACACACGTTTTCAAATGTTGAAACATGTAGGACAAAGTTTAATTTAATCAACTTTCATCCAACAGTCATGTTCTAACAGGGCAATTAAGTACATGATTGTATGTTCTACAATTTTCAACCAACAATGTTGAATCAAGTTGAAGCAAGATGTTATCACCAGTTGAGCAGGGCATAATGAATATTCCCAACTAAAATTCAACTAGAATTGCCATGATAATTTCATGAATTAATAAGAGGCTGACTACTTATAATAAATAAACAATTATAAATACGTTTATGAAAATTCTTTACTCTATTATTATTTTTTTTGAACTTCTTATTTTCAAATGTTTATTTTATGGATTTTAAAATCTGATTTTAAAAATAGGCTAACAAATATAATGGCTTTAAGAAATTAAACATCGTTAAGTCAACCAGCCCTCCACAATAAGGGAGACCGACTTACATGCCTGTCAAATATGTAAAAATCTTGAAACAAGGAAAATGAAATGTTCATTACTGTGTCTTGAATATTTCAGTTGGAACTGGCGACATGGTGAAGAATAATTACGTTCTGAAACACTTTTCCAAGGTTTATCAAGTCTTTACTCTAGAAATGAACAAGTTAAACATTAAATAAATTAATTTAATGTTAAAATAATTAAATTAATTTAAATAATTAATTTAATGTTTAACTTGTTCATTTCTAGACTAAAGACTTGATAAACCTTGGAAAAGTGTTTCAGAATGTAATTATTACGTGGGATGTTCAGGCCATGTTTCTTTGTTCGTGTAGAATCTTCATTCAAACTTTGATGGATCAATCATGTGCCTACTGACATTTTGTGCTCCAATCAACAAACAGCCGCAGAACAAAGAAGCCAGTTCAAGGACAACAAACACACCTCCCCAGTCATAAGACTTGCTGATTGTCGTCAGGGGGA